GGTCTGCTGGACGCAGATATCTGACGTCATCATTTGTAAAACGAGACGCATCTCGTTATTCAAAAAGGGAATGCGTAATCATGTTTTAAACGTTAGTATTGTTGTTGATTTATTTGCTGCACTTTTGGTGACTTATTTTCCTTTGTGTCATGAAGTTTTTAATACGGAATCGCTTCTGTGGTATCATTTCTTCTTGGCGATACCGTTTATGGTGCTTATGATAGTAGGGGATGAACTGAGGCGTTATGTCATCCGGAATAACTTTTCTAAATGGGTAGAGGAAGAAACCTACTACTAACTGTTAAAGAAAATATAGATCGTCTGTGTAGTAGATGGAAAATTTTGTTTATGTAAATTATAGTTTTTTTTCTTTTGTAAGTATAATTAGTAATTTTATTTAGTTTTAAAAATGTAGTACTAAAATATAAAGTACAGTTAAATGCCACTGCATTTTTATTTCATGTCTTTTTCTTTACAATTTCGTCGTCTATAATTTGTCCTTGCATTCGTACAATTAAAAAAAACGATAAAGACTTGTCAATTAATCATTTACAATAGACAAACTAATAGGGTGCGGTCTCAATACTAAAGTATCGCGCCAGTGACTTTGTTCCACATATTTCTGTTTATTAAATTGTAACAACTGGTATGGTATTTAATACAAGGCTGTAAAAGTTCACATATTACGTTGACAGTGTTATGGAGGCCTTATGTTATAGAAATGTCAATATCAAATCATACTTCATACTAATATTATGAATGCGAAAGTTTAGATGGATGGATGTTTACTAGAGTTTGTAGCATTAACGGCTGAACTGATCACGATGAAATTTGGCATATATGTAAAACATAATCTGGAAGAACACATAGACTACATAGTTTTGTATTTTTTTTTCAATTCCATTCGGACGGAGTCGCGAGCGAAATCTAAAATAAATAACCTATGTTTTTTTCTCTTAGTATTATTTTCCGATCTTTTTGTTGCCAGTTTCTCCCAAATTAGAATAAAACCACAAACACTTGACACTGGCCCAAGCCACATTGGGAGAGCCATAAACAAGAAATAGAATAGAATCTTCGGATCTGTTTCGTGCCTGGTCTAAGTCCTATAAAGTCTGTAAAAAGTAAAATAAGAAATCTGCAATAAAATTAGACATCTTTTTTACCCAATGTACAAGTACAAGTAATTTGGCCTGAATATTTATTACTTTGTAAAGGCAAGTATTCTCAATTCGTTGTTCTGATACATAACTATTGGCTAATAAATCATTAGCTCTATTGTTAGTTAAACAATATGCTTGATTGGCTCGTTACTTAAGCATATAACTTATTCAAGGCAATCAAAGGTTAGGTTTGAAAATCTCATGCGGTCAGTTTCAAATTGCAATATACTAGAAACTAGTGATTGCGAAATAAGTACTGCTTTTGCTCATACTGCAACGTATATCGGTTAATTATGACGTTTTCAAACTATTTCTGTCCTAGTAACCAGTCTAATTCATGAATAATTCCGTAATATATGATTTGCAGTCGGCCTGGATCGTATTTTAAATTGTACTTTCTTATACCTAGATGGCGCTCAATATGAATATAACTAATAATATAGCTGGAAAAGCTTTAATTATTAGCATAAACGAAAACGGACAGCTACACGATCCATACTTGTTTATGATAGTTAATGGTAATCTATAACTATATCTATATATCTATACATATAATAAAATTAGAGTGTCTATCTCCGAAACGGCTGGACCGACTTCGATCGGACTTTTACTAAAGGGTAGTTGACATAGACGGGCATATTATAGGCTACTTAATATTGCGCGGACGAAGTCGAAGGCAACACGTAGTTGGTAAAATACAAAGGAGCTGTTATAATAAAGAATTGTACAAAAAAAAGTATTGTAGAATTCGCTGCTAGTATCAGTAAATTGAATAAGTTTTCTCGTCTTATGCAAGTACAAATCGATATTGAATCATATTAAATAAACTATATATCCACAATAAAGTAGAGCAAAATTGAATATGTTATTGTGAAACACCTAATTAAGTAATCCAAAGTTAGCGTGAAGTTGGAACTTATAAGATCGAGATTAAGGCACGCGGCACATGAATGGGGCGCGGCGTTGTATGAATTTAAATCAGACCTCATGCTCGCCGGTGCCTTACCGTACCGCATGTGTGGTGTGACCTACATCACATACCTAGATCTAATACTAGACTACGCTTCTATTTCACACGAGGACGGTGAACCAGAACGGTAGTACATTGCAGTAAAGACCTATTTTATTAAGACAGCATAAGTGAAATGAGTAATTATCAAAAGAATTTTGTCACACAAAATCTGTCTCATTATGAATTGTTTTGTGTTGTTCAAATAATAGAAGTACTGCGTATTGTAGTATCTACTTTTCTAAAACTATTTTGACTTCGTGTAAACAAATAGTAGTGTCGCGGCATTCTAGATTATAAATTCGACTAGGTTAGATTTTGTTAATGTTTTTAGATATGATCAATGTTCAAATGAGATACTACGAGTATATTTCCCAAGCATCCTTCTAGTAAATAAAGTAACTATGTGTATTATGTATATATATAGCTGTTGCTCGCGACTTCGCCCCCGTGAAATTAAAAAATATAGCCTATATTACTCACAGATAAATTACCTTTCTAACGGTAAAAGAATTTTTAAAATCGGCCTAGTAGTTTTTGAGTTATTTCAATACATATAAAAATACAAATCTTTCCTCTTTATAATATTAGTATACTTGTAGATAACCTCAAACGCATGTAATATAAGAGACATACTTTTTTATTTGTTAGAAATCTTAGTCTAAAATTCTGTAATTACTTTGTAGTATAAATTGTATTCAATTTGTTTTATGGGGAATCAAAATTTTATTTTAATGGACTGAATTCGTAAAACTTTTTCAATATCGTTAGATACAGAGTGAAGGCGAAATCATAAAAGTAGGCATTAAAAATGTAACGAGATACATTTATCATTCATTCATGTGAAAAGTACAGACATGTATGAATGTATGAATTTAAGTGCTTAGCTGATGTAACATGAACTAGGTCTTACGCTATTCATGTTCAAATTATATCTAGAAGTTTCGATGGTTTTTTTTAAAGTGCAGGTAAAAGCGCCTTAAAGTTTTTTGTTAATTTGCATTTTTGTTTATACATAATCCAAGTACAAATGGAATACAATAACTTAAGGATTAACAATAATAATAATAAGCCTTTTAATTTCCATATTTACACAGAGTTTAAATTTCATTTTGTTAGTATTATTAGTGTCACACCACACACATTCCATATTCATTTTTTTTAAATATATATCCCTTCTTGGGTAAAGGCCTCCACCATCTCTTTCCAGCTCCCATTTTGTCACCAGACCACCGTTTTATAGATTTATCGACTTCCCTTTTTCCCGCTCTCCTTTTCCATCTTGTAGCTTCTAAAGTAAATTAAGGATAACTAACTTAAGGATTAGAGGTCAATAAAATCACGTAACAAAATAAATGCCTTAATTAAATGTAAAATGATTTTTTGGTTGTCAATAAGTTGCGATGTAAGATTGAATACGTATTTTGAGACTAACTTGACGTAAATTTCCGGTTAATTAGTTAATTACTCGTATTTATAAATGTTTAATTACTGTTTAGGATTTGTTGCTCAGCTTGCTGTGAATCATCTAATAAATATTTACATCATATCAATATGATAAAAGTGTTTTGAACGAGCGCAAGTGCGTCAGATATTCAAAATTGTATTTAACGTTGTTACTTCGTGTTTCTAACTTTGGTCTTAATCAATTGAAAAATTTGCTCTCATTCTTCACGTAAACCAGAAAGGACCATAATGAGTTGTCGCTAGCCGCATAAATAGCGGACACGGTGGAAACTAGTGTTATGTTTTTTCGACTAGTTCACGCCTTTTCTGTTTGAATTAAATCTTTGGTATCGCCTACGCTAATTGGCCAAAAAAAAGGATGAAGAAAGTTCTGCTCATTTGAAAGATATGTTTCATTACTTTCCTTTCTTTTTCCTACGATCTCATCTAAATCCATTTAATAACAGGTTTAAGATTTAATTTTAGATAGTTATATCTATAGCCATCAATTGAATAGAGGCTTTGATATCAACATTTGACAAGCTCAAACACGACGGGTACCGAATTGTGCTCGATTAGTTGGCGCCGTTTTGTGGTCTGAATTCTAAACTAAAATAATCTAGACTACCATAAGTCGAGCACGGGTATCCTTGATTGCGAAAACCGTACCGAGTGTGCAGGGCTGGGTCCCACTCGCCGGCCCTTATATACCCTCCTGCGGAGAGATCGCGGCACACGTGCTACACACGGCAGGACAGACGCACGACACCAGTCATGTACGCTAAGGTACGAATGATCACGTATTTTAACCTTTAAAATATAAATTTAACACTTGCAGCTTATGGATCAACTTCCATAAAACTTAATAAGTTAACATATAATAATTACAGATCACTTTGGGCTAAAGATGTGAAGTAGAGAACTTGACTTAAAAGTGCATTTTTAAGACTGAAATTCACTTTTGAAACATCACTTGTTTAGTCAACCGTCTCATTACAAGATTGTTTCCAGTTGTTAATGTTGTGCTGCGCGTGGGCCGCGGTGTCTGCGGCGCCGGGGCTGCTCGACATCGGGCTGTCGCACGGGTACGCTGCGCCCGCGCTCGCTGCGCCCGCATACACGGCGCATGCCATCGCCGCGCCTGCCATCACCACACACGCCATTGCCGCCCCGGCTATTGCCACTCACGCTATCGCCGCTCCTGTTAGTACACCTTCCTAGCAAAGGAAATCTAACGGAAAGGAGACTAGATTGTACTAACCAAAATTGTAAACTTCATGAACATCTTTCAGGCATCGACTATCCTAGACGTCTTTCTTTCCGCATTGACAAAATTCAAAATTCTCTACATCAACCAGAGTTGCTTCTTAAACAACGCATCTGCAGTTCCTCTGGTATTGCGGATGTCCATGGGCGTCGTTGACCATCTCGGTGTTACCGCCGCTCGTTTGCCCCCTTCTCTCATGTATAAAAAACAAAGTCCCTGTCGACTTTTGTTAAAAATTGACTAAATTGTAATTGTAAAATTGTTGATTTAGTTTAGGTTATAATGTTATGTGCTTTGTAGGTAGTCCGTGCAGAGCCCATCGATCCCAACCCAGCGTATAGCTTCTCATACGGAGTAGCAGACCCACACACCGGGGACCAAAAGGACGCACATGAGACGCTGCAGAACGGCGTCGTCCACGGCTCCTACAGTCTCGTTGAGCCCGAC